AAAAATTGAAATGTTAAAATCATCTAGGTTTCAAACTTAAAAGTAGGCTCATATATACACAGACTTTATTTAAACAGGAACTTTGACATTTCTGCTTTAATCCCCTTCTCCAGACACTGTATTTTCCCCCATTGAAACATGCACAACTTGCAAAATATACTCACACTGAAATAGGCACACTTGCACTAGAGCTGATAGACTTAGTTCCAGTTGTGACTATATATGTTAAGTTTGTGTCATACAATAAATAATGGGGTTTTTTCCCCACTTCCATACTAATGTCTCAATATTGTTGAGTATATTTGCATAAGAACTGATACCGATAGAGAGTTGATGCTATCTGCTCTTGACTATAAGGGTGGGTAGGAAAAAGATTGGGATTCAAATTTCTGAATACTGTGATCTTAAATGCAGTGTGTGTAGGACCAACAAGTAAAACCAAGTGATACCTCACTGATGCCCAGTGATAGAAAAGGCCATGTGGTTTTTGCCTGAGTATTTTGATGATTTGTTATTTGCATCAAAGGACAGTGAGAGGAGAGAGGAGATGGATGTACCCTGTCGTTACAGAGGGTGGGTATCTGAAGGGCCAAATCTCTATGGGACAACCAAAAGAACACCTTTCCAAGTAGATCTTAGGAAACAATTTTTCTCTGCAAGAGCTACTGATCCTCATCCAACACTGAGAAAATAGATTGAGTAGTCAGGAAATTAATAATCTTAGGCAAATTCACACTATATAGCACAATCCATTTCAGCTTCAGATCTTGGAAAAGCTGTTTGAAGACTAACTTCAGGAATGAGCAGCAGGCTGGCACTCTTTTTTCCTCATCCAGATAAAAGTCCTGCATCTTCGCAAGCAAAACCTTGCTCTGTGCAATCCTGCATCATTTGCAGAGCAGTCCGGGAAATCACGGCTCTGCTCACCAGCCAGCATGGAGATGTGGACATAAGAAGGGCAAGAACGTAGGGAAATATAGGGTGGATATTAGGAAAAAGTTTTTCACAGGAAGAGTGATAAAGTTCTGGAATGGTCTCCCTGGGGAGGTGGTGGAGTCACCATCCCTGGATGTGTTTAAAAAAGACTGGATATGGCACTTGCTGCCATGGTTTACTTGAGGTGTTAGGGCATGGGTTGGACTTGGTGATCTTGAAGGTGTCTTCCAACCTAGTCATTCTGTGAATTCTGTGAATTCTGTGAACATCTTTCTTCTTCCTGGTCAGGGCAGTGTCAGTGCAGCACTGAGTCTAAGTTCACAGGGAACCCTACCAAGTGCCTTTGGGCTCCATACTAGAGGAATTGTGCACAGGAGCCAAAAGAGGGAAGCCCTAAGAAGGACTGTGGCCAAAACTATAGAAATCAAGTCTAGGCCTGAATAAAGCACTTTGCTGACCAAATCTGGATTGTCACCATTGCTTCTATTTAATGACACCCTGTGGAAAGCAGTTCCTTGCACTATTAAACTTCTGAAAAAGAGGGAGCAGAGTCTCTAGGTCAGTGATTAACCAACTAGAATAATGAATTGCATGTGAGACACTTTGGGGGATAGATATGATTCAGTTTGTGGAAAGAACGAGGTGTCATTTCATTTTTTTAGGGATGTAAGTTTGTAACTAATTTTTGTCTCTCCTTGCCAGCATAACGGTTTGAATGTTAATTTAATTTTGCAGAATATCATTTATGTAAATGTAATTAGAAGGGAAACATGATCAGGAGATGCATAGCACCAAAGAAAATTTATTACTCCAAGGGGTATTGCTCTAATCATTCAACTGCAATATTGAGTTTCCCAAGATTTAATCTAAAAGCAATAAATTACAAAAGGCTAATGTCCTGCCCAACAAAAAGCTGTCATGAACCCAAGTTTCTGTGGGGAAAAAATTCAACTTCATTTCAGCAACAGGCTCTCCTCGTTTACACATTCCTTTTATGATTCCAGTCGAGTCAAAGTAAAATGAATACAAATGTGAGAGTTTGAACACTTTCCCTGAATATGTATGTCTGTTGGTGATTGTAATAATCAGCAATTCAAGGCACTGGGACTCTGTTATCTCATGCAAAATTAGGAATGCAGTCCTGCAAAGATACCTCTGCAAATTCTTCTCCCCACCTTCACATGACCCTTTGATTTAAGGGAAGGCAAACTTGAGTCTGATTAATTCCAGTGTCCATATGAATGTCTGTTGCTAATGTGCTGTTGTCTTTGTTCTGCCAACAAAATGAATGAAAAGAAACAAGCTGGCCTTCTGCCTGTGTGAGTGACTGCAACCTATGTGCTCTGTGGGAAACAATGTCCATGTGGGGAAGGCATCACTTTGACTGTGATGATCTGGATTTACTAATGAGACAATTTTGCAAGGTGGAATTAAAAACAAATCAAATGATATTGTGTGCCTACTTCTGAAAGCCCTTGAATAGCAGTTCTGATGTTCAAGGAGCATCTCTCCACTCGAGTAAACCTGCAAGAAAAAAGGTCAGGAAATAAACAACAGTTAGGCAAAATAAAAATTGGTAAACTTCCTAATGTGTGGGCTAAAATACTGTTAAATGTTGGGGTTTTGTGGTACAATTTAGTATGGAGGCTGATGCCAACATTATGCTTCTCTGGAAGTGGAAGTGGAGTAATTAGTACAGGAAATAGGTTTCTTATATTTTATTTAGCCAAATTCATCTCTGGTTTAACTCCACTGTAGCCTGCATTGTTTGTTCTTATTTCCCAGTGTTTCTCTCTGTAATTCTTCATATCATGACTTTTAATTCCCTGTGATTTTCTTTTATTTTAGGTAGGGGCCATGGTTCCTCTCTCAGTTTGTTACTATCAATTATGTCATAAGTCTTCGTTTCTTGGCTTGCGAAGTGAAACCCATCAAACCTACAAAAAATTTTTACAAAGTGCTCACTGGCAAGTTTACAGATTCCTACAGCTGTATGTGGGACACAAGGAGAAGCACAGGGCTGCAGCTCAAAGGCACAAAGAAATAGATCTATGAGAGGACTGGGGGAAAATTCAAGGAACAGATTAAAACAATTCTGTTAAAAGCAGGGAAGGAGGGCCTCAACATATGAGCTGCTCATTTCCATGTGGAGGAAAAGTACATCCTAGGAGGATGGCTGAAGGCAGTAATGAGCAGCCCAGAGAGTGAGAGAAAGTGCCTGAACTTGTTGGGTTGTACAAACAAGCTCTTGAGGCTCAGAACCTGATGCTCACCAGTGAAGTCAAGTCAGTTATGAATACCATTACTGAAATCAAATCAGTATCTTTTTCCTTGTCCCAAGCAAGTTCTGGAGATAATGATTGTGGCTGAGATGGCTGTGAGGATGTGGAGCATGGGTCAGCCCTGGGATCCCATGATACGATGGCCCTGGGGAGACAGAGGGCTACCTTCTCTACCTGCCTTTTGTACTAGTTGCAGAGTTGAGGTCCTCTGCTTCTGAACTTTTCTTACAGGGCTGTTTCCATGTAGCAGACACCCCAACTTCTGTTTCAGCTCAGCTACCCCAAGGCCATACTGAAAGGAGGAAAAGATGGTTCAATAGATTCATAACAACATTCAGACTCATCAGCTTTTGTTCTGTAGGGTCCTGGTGTGAAGTTGTTAAAGTTGTAATTCTCCACCCACAGTTGTTTAGAGAAGTCCAGACGTGTGGAGAAGAACATAGGACAGGCTGCTGTGGGTATATCTAATTAACAGTCAACATGCACAGTACTAATGGTCTCATCCTTGATTGTGTTCAAGTACATCATAGATCAAGACAACAGAAAGCTTCAGGTCTCTGCTATAAAATTGCATTGAGGTTGTGTCACACCAGCTTTAGTTCCACAGCTCTTTGAAAGCAGAGCAATAGAGAAGGACAAAACCACAAAGTAATGGTGGGACAGGTCCTGCCTTGGTGATCTATCAGGTACACAGACTGCAGGATGTAGTACTAAGAGGCCTTAGAAGTATTTTTAATTTCACAAGATGTAATTGGTCTAGTTGTGAAACAATGTCTAAGATTTTTGTGTCTTTAGTTTCTGCATAATGTTGGAAAGGGAACCCTGCATCATGGAAAATGGTTTTTGCCCCAAGTCAAGACTACTGTTCTATAATTCCTTAAGAGACATACATGGAGATTTTATCAGTCAAAGATGATCTTCCCAGATCATCATAATTTATTACAGTTCTTTTGTTTTCATTCCAATGAGATTTATAATTATAAACTGGTAATTAAAGAGGCTCCAATCTGTAATTCCATAGGAATTCCACTGTGATCTGACATTAATTAGCAACCAATTATAAATTATGATATAACTTTTATGAAACCCACTAGTGTCTGGATGCCTTCTTTCATTTACAAGGAAATGTTAGAAGGGATTTTGCCTTTGTAAGATGGAGCTTTGTCACAGGTTGATCAGTACTGCCATGGGCTGAGAGCGTATTTCCATGACCCAGCAACTACATGGATGGACAGGTTCAATCTGCCATTCTAATCTTTCTTGGAAGAGGCATTTTTCTCACAGAATTTTAGCCTTTTCGCATGTCAACAAGTGTGCATTCTTCGATGCTAAGGTTTTATTTGACTTGTGTAAAAAAGAATGAGATGGTGCATTGCTTGATGGCTGATGAAAGCTCTCTCTACCTTGAAAGTGTAATTTAAATAATTGCAGCCAATCAGGAAAAAAAGAAAAATAGTCACAGGCTCCAGTGAGAATGTCTGTGGGATAAAGAATATGTGAAAGCAGGCTAAGGGGATAAATATTAATAATTCTGGCATTATTTCACCATCTAGCACTAAAGATTTGATAACTAATAAAATTTTTATGTCCCCAAAATCTGACGGGTAAAATTTAACCTAGACATGTGCTGGTAATAAAACAACTGATGCATGTGGATATTCAACATTTAACACCTCTTTTTCTTTTTTTTTCTCCTGCTTTTCTTTTAATTTTCGGGGGGGGGGAGGGGTTGTTTGTTTGTTTGTTTTTTAATTTTTCCGTTTTTTCACTTTTCAGATCAATTATCACCATTAAGCGTGTCAGAAAGAAGTGGGAAATGGGAAAACACCCAAATCCATTACTAGCAAAAAATGTGTAGGGAACAAGAGACCTAAAAGGAGGCAACAGATTCTTTTTGCATGGATGAAATCATGAGGTAGGTTTTCAAAGTCTTGCCTTGCAGATAAATTTCCACCAGGTCCACTAAACCTAATGAAAATCACTTGTGTTTCTAAATATTTCTTAGTGCACTTCTCTCTTACCTCTTTGCAGCTTCTCCCTATCACCTCCTGCAACTCTTTTGATCAAACCTCCAAGATTTTTCCCAAGAAATGACACATCTGATCTGATTGGAGTTTGTACAGGTAACAGAGTAAAAGGAATTATGATCTTTAAGCTACATCCACATCCATCTTCCATCATAAAACACCTCTGATCTGAGCACAAAGCTGTTCAGGAAAGTAAAAGTGTGGCTTATTTAGCAGCCAAATTTTGTTGACTTTGGAGTCCCCAATGTTCCTCAGGGTCATTGTGGTTGCATGGAAGTACATAATTTACCTTTCCATTTTTTGTCATTTTACAACAGTGAAATTTGTGGGAACAATCCTCTTATTTAAACTCAGACAAATCCAACAGTCTTGACCAAGAGATAGTCCTGACTGTTGTGTTCTTTCTCATTAAAGGGACTGTACCTATTCTTCTATAAAATAGATGAGATTTCAGCTTGGAAATTCCCATAAAAATCTCATTCTGTTATGTTGCATCTAACTTGTTATCAGGATATCTCTGAACATATTTGCCATTAAGCCAGAGATGTGCCCCTGACAGCAAGGAGCAGAGTGCATCTTAAACATAGGGAAATGTTATAAACTGGCTCAATCAGATCAGCATCAGCAGCAACTCCTGTCTACTCCTGATGGACCCAGATACTATACGTGAATAAACTTGATGCTGTTACTTGTAACTACCCCTATAAGGGATTAAGTTTTTAAGGTCTGGCTGCATGCATTTCAGATATTATTTCAGATATATTCTGGTTCTGTGCCTAAGTAAGATTTAGAGGAATTTGGAGAGCAGCTGGACACTAAAGCTTTAGGAGGTCCAGCATCAAAGCAGGGCTCATAGTAACCAACATTCTGCCAGCAAATCCTACTGCTCTATATTTAGCCTACTATTAAAATTATGGGTTTTTTATTTTTGCTTACCTTAATCTCAAACTTTGGGGTTTTTATGTTTGCAGAACAAGGCAAGTTCTTAAAGCTATAGAATTTGTCTCATGGTTTTTTTTTTTTTTTTAGTTCAATGTTGATTTGATGGCATCTAAAAGGGCAAATGAGAAAGACAGGTATTATGTTTCAAGGAGAGAGTTATAAAAGTCTGAACTGCATCTGAAGTATATTTTACTCCTAATAATGAGAACTGGATGAACAGCATTTAAAAAAATATGAACCTGCCCCAACTACATTGGTTCAGATGTAATTGATCTAATGCAGTTCTCCAAAGAATAATTGATATTATATAATCATAACTGGCAGTTTATGTCATGAAAGTGACACTTGACACTTTCCTGCTAACCAGTTTAGCATCATCAATTAAAACATCACTTGTGTAATGACATTTTAGTAACAAGTTTAATATCATAAATTATGACATCACCTTCTTTTATGGCATCAGGGTTGAATAAAAGGTTTTCTTTAGAAAAGTGAAAAACTAAAACAAAATTGAGGAAGCCTTAAATTGCCTCTCATTTTGTCTTTATAAAAGGTACATAAGTCATATTCTTCTGGCCACTGTCTTCATTAGGGGCGATCTGAAAGCTAAAAAGTTACAAACAACGATGCAATAAAAATTGAGATGAACTTGCTTCAGATAAACACAGAAAACCTCCCAGTAGATAGTAGAGTCGTTTGTATCATACCAGTGAAAATCTTTGAGAAATGGAGAAGAAAACATGGGCATGCTCATGGAACCTGATGAACTCAATTATAGTGCAGTAATATTTCCTGAGATGTGGTGTGAAAGTTCAAGATTGCATCATTATCCAATAGTCAATGTTCTTTTTCTTCATGGCCAGTGGCTTTGAAGTAATCCTTTTTATATTATTCTTCTCAGAATGGTCCAATTTTGGTGCTGGACTCTGGTATTGAGACTCTTCTGGACACTAGATTTTATGACTCTTAGTGATCTGAGTCCTGAGTTGGCAAATAGCTCAATTTGTTCATGTCTATTTAGGTTTATGTAACCAGACAGGAGCCAGACATGAATTGAGTTCAGAGGATTCCCAATTAAACAAATGTCTCCGTGAATGTGTGTCTTTGTAAGATTAACTGCAAGGAGTCAGATATTGTCAGTACATCATGTTTTCAGAGCTGCTTTCTAAAGGCACATGGCATCAGCTTCACTTTCCAAGGTGCATAAGTGTTATCAGTGACCACAGCCATAAACAGAACAAGACCTTACCAAGCATTTTCAAAATCTTTCCGGATTTTTTTTTCTTGAACTTTTTCTTTATCTTATTAAGTTGTGCTGAGCTCCACTGGGACTCTATCCTGAGATAATACTTCCCTTCTAACACTTGTATAGAAACTTAGCCTTGTACATGCATACGGTCCCTGTGAATTCATATGCTTCTCCCATGGCTTGCTTTTATACCAGGTGCTTGGTCTGGATTTCAAGGGTTTGAAAAGTGGGCAAAGAATCCTAGATAAGAAGTCAAATTCACTTTGTAAAACACTGGACAATTGTTGTATATTTTCTGGGGCAGAAAAATTTCCCTGAACAATCCAGAAAGATTTCCCTTGCTAATTGCCAGACTGTAAATCCGGGATATGACAAATGGGTGCCACATGGCATCTGGGCAACTGCTCTATACTCTGGATCAAGTGTCCAGTGCCCAGGAGATGCCCTAATTCCAGCAAGAAGGTGATAATTTAGTAAGTATGAAAACACTTAAATTGAACACAAAGTTTTAAGCGAATCTATGTAAATTGACAGTGCATATCTTAGTGGTCTCTTGAGGATGCCATGATTTACCTACGCTCTTTTCTTAACATTTTTTCAAAAGTTTTTTTCCCCCATGAATATTTATGTCGATGCCTCATTTGCTGACTGAATTTCCACTCTACTGGAATTATGCTTCCCCATAGTACATGCAGGAAAGGTGAGCGGTTAGAGGTGAGAAAAAGAGACTCCATGACCTTTAGGAAATAGCAAATGGCACTAGATAAAACCTTTTCTGTGAGGCGCTACTTATGGATTGGTTGGAGATAATTACCAAAAAATTATTATCTCACTGCAACAATTAACTAGTGGTAGATCAGAGCCCAAATCTCCAGAAACTCTGAACTTTCACAAATTGGCTTTGCCCATTGCCACTCTAAAGCAATAAGTAATTCTTAAAATTGGCATGAGTGATAGATACCACATAATTTGAGTTATGAGTATGGACTTATTTACAGCTGGCATTTTTTTAAAGTGAGTTGTAAATGTTAAGGTGCTAGATTCAATGCTTATAAATGTGTTTCCTTGGTGATAAAGCTTTCACTAAGCATGTTGTCTATCTGTGCTCTCTTATGTGCAGACAAGAAATTATTCACTCTGTATGTTATAGGTCTTGTGCTTTAAAATTGAATCCTCTGTTGACTAATGGCTGAGAAACATAGAAATCAAATCCACAGCTGTTTTTTCTTAAAAGTAAAGTTTTGGCAAAAGCAGCTGGGCTTTAATGCATTAGAAAAGTGTGCATTTTTAAAAGTTGTTCCACTTCCTATTTTCTCTCAACAGTACTCCCTGAAGTTAAGAGTTTTCTTGTGTTTCATCTTGCAGTTTCAGCATAACAGGGTTTTGATTTTGCATGCCCCTCCACTGCCAACTAAATGCAAAGAAGATGTTAGTTTGTGGGGGTACTCATAGTAAAGAAGTAAACACAGAGAATGAAATCCTTCTGGGACAAAAAAAAGGAATTTATCTGATGACTGAAACAGTGGTGGTTGGAAATCTCTTCTGCAGAGACATAGAAACTACTTGGAAAAGGTGAGGTGAGACAAAGACTGAGCAAAAACCTCCATACATGGCAAATAATGTCGCTCACATTAGCATAAGAAATGCTGGCCCAGTTGATATCAGTGGGAGTTTTACCATTTTTTCTGCTTAACCTTCCTTTGTAAGTAAAGTAGGGGCTAGTTGGGCCACTGGATATTTGTGAGTAGTTACCTGGTCATCCCTGTTTTACTCTGGCCTCCTATGAAAGAAATTAGAGGGGATATAACACAGAAGAACAGATAGATGCAGAAGATACAAAGACAGAGGCCTGCTGCCAGTGAGACACTGCTGGTCCCAAAACACCCTCATCCTGGCACACACGACACATCAGGGTTCAAGAGCTATAGATGGCATAGGGCTATGTGCATTAATTGCATCTTAAAGTGGTGGGCCCCCAAAGGAGACCTGGTCTCAGCTATGCTGTAACTGGAACAAACAACTAATGAGAGAGCTTACAAACCCATGAGGCAGGACAGGGGCGGAGTATTAATCACTATGTTTGAGACTTGAGCTTAAATATGCCCATTGTTTACATAAATTGTCTATGGATTGAAGAGGAATGGATCTGACTTTTTCTTAGCCCTATTGCCAGTTTCAGGGATTGGCTTTTCTTTCGTTCTTGTTTACAGTAGCATGAGCTCTGAAATCCCCCTTATTACACAGAAATCATCAAAGACATTTAATTTTACTTTTTATCTCTAATTTCAGCTTTCATTTCTATGGTTTAACATTTTGACAACTGCAGTGTTTTAAAGTAAACTGTGAACTATTCCCAGTGATCTTATCTAATTATTTTTAAGTAACATGCTGATGACCTTGCATATGCAAAACTAGTCCATACATTTTTTAAGAATGTTGTTTCAGGGGCTTCAGATAAAGTTAATACAAGAACCCATTCAAATGGCATTGAGTTTCTGAAACACAGTGAAGAGAGAAACCTTCTGGCCCTGCATCTCTGAAAACCTCTTGTCGGCCACTTAGGAAAACTGAGCCAGATTCAGATCTCCTTTGCTACTTGCTTATCTAGCCATATCCCAGCTGTAGCAGCTTTGTGGGAAAATGGGTTCCCTGGTGTGTGGTGATGACCCCACACAGGTCTGAGCTCTGTTATTCCAACACTTATGTCACTTACGAGAGCTGTCAAGGACTGGCATTGCTTTTGGAGAAACCATAGAGCTAGAGCATAGGGCCACCACACCACAGGCCAGCCCTGCAGAAACCCATATGGAGAATCCCAAGGTTGCTGGCTGTAGGGATGTCTTGATGTGCTCTCTATCTCATGGGCAGGAATTATGTGGGTTCTAAGAAATCTATTCGTTTCTGG